GCTTGAATTTTTTTTTTAGAGGCAATGAATGGAGAAGTTCATATAAACAGAAGTTTCATGCAGGAGAATAACATTAAGAGAACTACCAGGGACCTATTGTGGAATGTTTTAAACAGTGGGCAACCCTTATGTAGCAAAAACTTGGAGGTGGGGTATAATTCAAGAGTCAGATGTTTCTTTAGGGGAACTGTCTTGTTTAGAGAAACACCTGGAAGGAACATTTTGGTTATGGGAAAAAATAGACCTCAGAGTTGTCCAGGATGATCAGGGACAATGAAGAAGATGAATCTGATCTTCATGAAAAAGGGAAAACATGATATTCTGGTACAGCTCTACAAAGGAGAGCTTAAAGAAATTTTGAGGGCAGTATCATGGCAGGAAGCCATCAGACTGAAGAAGGAAATTTTGGTTAGGGAGACATCTCCTACAGCAATCAAAAGATTTAAAAGAATTCAAGAGGTCAAATGCTCCATCCTATAGCATCATTCTTGCTGTTGAATCATGTAAGTCTCTGCTATTGCCTGAAAATCTTCAGGAAAAGCCTACACTTAAGTGATCTACTTTGAAGGCATTTAAGAGATGAAGAAAAGTACCTAAGCACTCCCATTCAAGTATTTGCACAACAGAGGGAAAGATGCCAGCAGTAGAAAAAATCCCCAAACAGGAAAAGGAAATGAAGGACATATGTGTGAACACCCACCCATGGGAATCCCCAGAAATTTTGAGGGGGTCAAGGACATCTGAAGTTAAAGCACTTTTGTTTAAATTTCACGAAATGGGAAATCCGGCTAAAACCTGGCTCCATGTGTACAAGAAAATGTCTATAGATGTAACTTCTGGTAGTTCAGGAGTAAATGACCACATGTATCTGTCTCCCGTTGTCCAGGTTTTAGACTCTTTTTCCTCTTGATAACTATTATTTGAACATCTCAGAAACTTTACCAATTTCATTCAATCTCAGAAACAGATGGGACAACTCAAGATTGAATTATTTTTCTCTTTTATCATTTCTGGCAAGAAATGTTATGGGGATATCTCTGTTTCATAAGCCTACACAAGTTTTCACAGCTATGAATGCTTAAGTGAGAAATACTGCTTTGCACCTACCCCATTACCTCCATGTATTTGAATGTGTACTTTGTACTCCTATGTAAATACACTGATGAATTCAAATATGTATATGATTATGACTATTTCCTGGAGTGAGTGGGTTTAGTCTATAATCTATAAAAGAACTACTCTGACAAATTAATATAATATATTGTTACTTCCATAATAATGACTCCAGAGTGATTTTATTTGGCCAGCCACCTGGATGGTTTGAGATTGAAGGCTATTCCTTGACCATAACAACTGAAAGCTTCCTCCTGATAGGAAATTCTATTTAGAGAACCTATAATTGAAGATGTCTAATGAGTTATTGGCTCAATAGAGAATGGTCAGGATTTTTATTTGCATTTAAATGTTTATGGAACAGTCATAATTAGAGAGAAACCAGCCATCATAGTCTTTGCAATTATTATAAAATTATTATTACTTTCTCCTAGTGTTTTAGTCAACTTTTCCTCATTGTGACCAACATACCTCACAAGAACAAGATAGGGAAGGAAAAGTTTATTTGGGCACTCAGTTTCAGAAGTTCAGTCCAAAGCCAATTGACTCCATAGCTCTGGGCCCAAGGTGAGTCAGAACATCTTGGCAGAAGGGCACGGTGGAGAAAACAGCTCAGTAAATAACAGCCAGGAAGCAGAGAAAGAGACCTGCTCACCAGAGACAAAAAAATATACTCCAAACACATGCTCCCAGTGACCTACCTCCTGCAGCCACAATCCTGTCTTCTCACAGTTACCACCAAGTTCATCCATATCACTGAATTAATTCATTGATTAATTCAACTCTCAAAATCATTTTACCTTTTAATGGTCTTGCATTATCTCACACATGAGCTTTTGGGGAATACTTAATACCTAAACAATAACACCTGAAAAAATTTTTAAAAAATAATCAATGATTTGACATTATTCCTGAGATATGTTCATGGTCCTAATACTTCTGAAGTGTTTGAGAAATCATAAAATCTAATCTACAACTTAATGTATTTCAATTTGAAAAGGACATGATGATGCACAGCTAACTGGCTAGTCCCTCAGTTAGTAGTAATACAGTTTTCCTGAAGCTGACAATTTATCACCCACCCCTTTTACTTATTAATATTGCTTATTTGAATAACATTGATCATCATTCTTTGAGCCATTTCTAAATCATATCTATCTAAATTAATCAATTCCTCTTTGAGGTGTTTAATAATATTTCCATTTCTGTTTCAAAAACCCAAAGAAACAAAATCTAGCCTTTACCAATGGCACTTCCTTTAATTGTTCCTATTTCAAGACCTTTATCACTAGTTATATGCACACCCTATGAATTTGTTCACATTCATTCATAATATGATACTTTCTTATTCCAACAGCTTATATGCCCAGATGAGCATGCACATGTGCTTGTATTCATGCAAGGTGATAGAATTTGAAAAAAATAGATCTAGAAAACTGAGAGGCTGAGACCACAAGCTAGATGCTGGTGGCCATGGGTCTCTATGGAATAGAGTCCCCGCCAAGCTGCTTCAGCCTCATGGAGATGGGCTTTGTGATGTGTTGGACCACAGGCAGGGAAGCCAGGATACTCTTTAGCAGCTTTTTCTGCCTCAGGATTAGTGTGTGGGGTCAGGATCTTATGGGCAGCTTTGGGAAAAGCATAACACAGGGTGGCGGTAGCTTTTGCACATTCATGGCCATCAGAATAGGCAGATGATGCTAACCAAGACAATGGCTGCTACATCTCCACCTTCACATCACCAGTCTTTGTACTACAATAAAAAAAGAAAAAAGAAAAAAAAAAGTCTTGCTGGGCGCAGTGGCACATGCCTGTAATTCTAGCCCCTTGGGAGGCTGATACAGGAGGATTGTGAGTTCAAGGCCAACCTCGGCTACAGCAAGGTGCTAAGCAACTCAGTGAGACCCTGTCTCTGAATAAAACATAAAATAAAAAATGGGGATGTGGCTCAGAGATTGGGTGCCCCTGAGTTCAATTTCCACTACAAATAAATAAAAAAATGAATAAAACAAAGTCTTTAAATATTTAAAAAAAAAACTACCTCTAACTTCATGACACAGTTTTAAAGTGTTTAATCTAAGTCAAAATAGATTCCCTCATGACGAATTCTTTTTTGTGAGCTATCAGAAGTTTTAAAACTTATTTTCTCTTAATAAAGTCACTTTCTCATTATTTCTGGGTAATTTGCTTCCTTGCTTCTACTTTTTGATATTGTCCTAAACTTATTTATTTTCACTTATCAGAGAGATGTAAAAATAGTTGAAAATTAAGTATTTCCACTTTATTTACTAATTGAAATTTTTTAAAAAAGATTATAACTACAGCCTAAAATCAAAAAGTTTTAATATTAACTAATTTCTTCCATTCTCTTTGAATCTTTTCATAATCTTCATAAAAATTGTCTGAAGACAAATAAAAAGAATTCATTTCATACAGAGCATTTGTCAAAACGAAATGTAAATGGCAAGATGATGCTACAGACTCTCACTTGGGTTCCATACATATATATAGTACATGTGCCATCACAGAGAGGTCTTTTCCTGTCCCCAAATGAATTGGGAAATTCAGAATCAGTGGCAAGAGCTACTTTGATCATGTGTCAAGGTCAAATAGAGTGAGAGGAGTTGGAAGTGTATAGACAAGACAGTGGTGATGAGAAATGAGACAGCAAGCAATGATAGATGACTCCCCATCAGGGGACAGTTCTTGGACTGTCTGTATCATTTCCCTACCCTCCTGTCTAGGCAATATGTTTCTCAAAAAGGGAGGAATAGAGGCAACCAAGAAACCAGAGCAGTCTCTGTGGTTCTGCCTCTTTTCTGCATCTTGCAGATGCAGAACAAACACAATCCATGGAGCGTGTGGAGCGGACTGATGGGGAGTCCATCAGGAGACACTGAAAGTAGATATTAGGAATAAGGTATCAAAACCTGTGACTCCAAATCCAGCAAAACTCTGGGCATGGTTCTGTCCTAAATTAGCAATTTTTAAGACAAAGTGATTTCCCCAAATATCACTAGTTTTTACCTGAGTCACTTTTGTCTCAATCTTATTAAAGTTCCCAAGAGAAACCGAATCAGGTCAGTGCTCATTCCAGCCATGCACTTAACATAAGGAATTAATTTGAACTGGAAAAACAAGAATAAGAGCCTGTGGGACACCAGCCTTTGTTTCAAGCTGGAGGTGTCAAAAGTGGTACCTTCTGGACAAAGGCAGTTGTTCCCTCTACCACTCAGCACCATAGAATTTGAAGGGATCTTAGAGAGCATCTCATCTCCACTAAAGCCCCTCCCAAAGGCCATAGGAACAGCTGAGTATGTATGACCAAGCCTAGGACCCAGGGTCTCCTACCAATCTTCACTCTCCCTCTACTAATAATAATGACTCTATTTTTCATCCTATCTACATGTGCCAAGCATCATTCTAAGCAGTTCACAGTTGTTACCTTGCTTAATCCTACAACCACCCCCTGGGTAGCTATCTCTTGCTACTGCCATTCTCAGGTGAAGAATCTGAGACCCAGTGTGGGTAACCTGCTCAATCCCAAAACTGACAGAAGGGCTGAGCTTCCTGCTCCCTGGTCATAAAATAAAAGGCAGGAGAAAGTTGATATAATTGTGAGCCAAATCTTTACTGGCTCTGATAAATTAATTACCAAATTGGCATATGAACCCCATGCCAGAAGCAAACTATGCTCAAAGCCACAGGCCAATCATATCACACTTCTTGCAGTTATGAAAACTCTCTTTGTTAACAAGCCACCAACCAAAGCTGCCTGAGGTTTTCTGATTTCTTTGATTCTTCTCTTTTCATTTTCTTCTGCAACTAAAGCTTCCCTTGGAGCATATCAGCCAGTAAAAGACAGTTTTTATTTTTCTACTGCACAGAACCTGAAACGGGTGGCTGAGACCTGGATGGATGAATTTGCTGAGTACATTTACCAGCGGCGGCCTGAGTACAGACACCTCTCTACTGGGGACATCTCTGCCCAGAAGGAGTTGCGCAAACAGCTCAAGTGCAAGGACTTCAAGTGGTTCATGGCTGCAGTGGCCTGGGATGTGCCTAAATACTACCCTCCTGTGGAGCCCCCACCTGCCGCCTGGGGTGAGGTGAGGAAACTGTGCTCTTACCTGTGTGTGTCCATCTCTCAAAGCCTCAGGTGCTGGGAGGGACAGCTAAGCCTTCGTTCTTGATCCCTGCAGCCAAGAAAGATCAATTTAAATCACCTCAGATAAATGAATGCCCACCCTATTTTTAGAAATCACTAGAAATAAGGATTCAACCTTCAGTATTGATAGCCCAACCCAGAACTATTGACCACTGTTGACTCCTCAGATGGGCTTTTAAAAATGTACCTGAAAAGTCAGGTATGGTGGTGTACTCCTATAATCCCATCTACTTGAGAGGTTAGGACAGGAGAATAAGAAATTATAAGCCAGCCTGTGCAGTTCGATAGTAGAGCACTTGCCTAGCATGAGCAAGCCCCTGGGTTCAATTCCCAATACCACAAAAATAAATAAATAATCAAGCAAACCTGGGAAATATTTTTACTTGAGATTTGTGAAATTCTGAGATCTTGTAGAGAATGAAAATATATGTCATGACACAGTGCAAATAAGGGCAATCTGCTATCCATAATAAGATCCCTTGCTGTTCTCTATGCATAGCTCTGTTGCTGTTTTATGTATGCAAGGCAATGGGGGCGGGGGGAGCACTTGGCTCTTTTTCTAACAGGGTGTATTCTGCAGAATCACGAAGGAATGCATTTCCATAATACATAGACTGTGGAATGTGCCAGAGCCATATTGGTTCCTGAAATAAGCAGTAACCTTTCCACCTTTGAACACTTCTACTTGATTTCACTTCCTGATGGAAAGAGCTGAATAGCCCCAGGTCCTAAATTTAAAGTATCTGTCTTTTGGCATAAAAAGGACTATTGTACTGGGTTCCATGCCATTCAATGTTGTTACTGTAGCCATTTCCCTATAGAAAAGAATATGCTGTAAAGCAAAGACTAGTATCAGATAAGGTGGATTTCTCCTCACAATTTAACCTGCTTTGAGCAGAGGATATATCCAAGGGGTAATGCAGGATGGGCTGGGCCAGATGCCAACACTGTCCCAATTCTCCAGCCTTTCAACAGCCAAGGTCTGTCAATCATTTTGGAGGAGATTTTTGATGTCATCCTTGGCTTTACAGTGTGGGTAAGAAGATGCCATTGCTTAGTTATTGTCACTGGCTGGAGAACTCCAAAAAAAAAAAAAAAATTGCTCCATGGTGTGAGAGAAGAGGCCAGAACATTCAGGCATCTTTCCTGGTTGAGTTGTCCCAGTTCCCTGGAGAAGATGCATTTAGAATGTCACAGCAACTTGTTTTGCTGAAAGAATCCAAGAAAATGCCTTTCTCTGCCTGGACCTGGAATATCCCAGGTATGAGGGAAAGAGTCAAGGCCATCACCTCAAGCTCCATCTCCCTCCCCATCACACCTTTTTTTTTTTGAGGCGGGGGGTGGGGGGTAGTATGTGTAGTTGGTCCTGACATTTTCAGCTTATTTGGCCTCATTCTTGCCATCCTAAATATTTCATTAAAACTTCCCTGGAATATTAGTATTGTCCGTCTACTTGTATTGATTTTAGCTCTCTGTCATGAGCTTAATTTACAGCACTGGAAATTTAAAGTACATACTAGGAAGAACTTTCTTAGCCTAACATAGTAGAAAGCATAAAGATTTGTTACCCAATAAGTGGAGAGTTTCCTCCTAAAGCTTTTTGGTTAATTATCTGTCTGTCAGCTTCCCACGGTGGTTTAAAAGGCTGTCCTAACAAATAACTAAGAAATATACTTGAAGACCCCAAGAGTATCATTGTGTGATTTAATGCTGGGTTAAAATCTCATCAATCTTTTTCCTGCCTTATGTGGCAACATAAATTTTTGTTCCTATCTGACTACCACTTCAAACTGCAATTGGTCATATTTTCTCATATTACCTGATTAATCCATAACCTGAATTCATAAGGCTACTTGTTTCCATTGAGGAGGTTCTTGAAAAAATACAGCCTGCCAGAAATAATCAAAACAAGAGCCACTGAAAGACCCAGTGGGCTACAGCAGCGTGTTTTCATCCTTATACCAATTGCCTGTCACCGCAGGTCACTTGCCCGGAGACATGGCACTTATTGTTACTGGTTTAAACAATCAGAAACTGAGATCGGATTTTTTTAACATGATGGTTAATTTCTTTCCCCCAAAGCTTCAAAACAGTAAAGAAATAAAGGTTGTATTTAGGTTTAAGGAAGAATAAAATAAATGGGAGTCTAGTTCAAGGGTCAATGCTGATCAGTTACATTTGCTGAGAAGAGATGTGGGTGTATACCAAGAGTGAAGACCTAGAAGGCTGAAGAAAGGCAAAAAAGAAGAGAAATCAACAAACAATAAGGCTTTGCACTGGTAAATAGTTTTGAAAAGAATCTATTTCCCAGGTGGGACAGAATCCAGAAAGAAGTGAAAGATGCACATTGAATTCCGAAGGCAGGTGAAGTATTTGTAATGCAGCTTAATCTAAATGAAGTGATGAAAAGAGAGTGTTTTAGTCAGCTTTGGTGTGGCTGGAAGCAAAACCTGACAAGAACAACTTAAAGGAGGAAAAGTTTATTTGAGACTCATGGTTTCAGAGGGCTCAGTCCACAGAGGGCCACTCCATTGCTCTGGGTGCAAGATGAGGCACCGCGATAAGGGTAATGATCCAGCAGAGGAAAGCTGCTCGGCTCATGGTGGGGACAAGAAGCCGAGGGAGAGCTGACAGAGGGGAAAAGGCCGCAGGGAGGATGCACCCTTCCAGGGCACACCCCTCTCACCCACTTCCTCCAACCACAACCCACCTGCCTACAGTTACCACCTAATCAGCCCGTTCAAACTAGAGGGGGGAATGATTAGGTTACAGCTCTAATAATCTACTCATTTTTACCTCTGAATATTCCTGCATTAACAGGAGCTTTAGGGGGAATACCTCATATCTAAACCATAACCAAAAGGCTATTTTCTAACTCTATGTTGTAGAAAAACAAGCTATTTCTTAAGAGTGCATTAAAAAATGACTAAAAGTTTAGAATATATTTGGGGAACAACTTAATCTCTGAAAAGTTATCTTTCAAACTGTTCACATGTGTCATTCTTCCACCTTTTGGATTTTTTTAAGTAAAACTTTTTATTTTAAATTTTATTTAAAAATAATAAAATTTTAGATTAACTGAAACCTTGCCAAAGTCGTAAAAAAGTTCACGTACACCTTCACCCAGCTGCTGCTTCTGTTAACATTTCATATTTAACAATCTCAACTGGTCTATTTATCAAGTTAATTCATTAACATTGGTACGATAGTAATTGCTGAACTACAGAGTTCATTCAGAATTTGCCCGTTTTTTCAACCAATGTTCCCTTTTCTGTCCCAGAATCCAATCCAGTATATGAGAGGGCTCTTTGATTTCCCATAGACTTTCAGTTGTTAGCCTAGGCAAAGCTCCTAAGTAAATGTGATAGGTCAGTTGCTGTTTTGTAAGAAAGTGAAAAGATGAATGTCGACTCTGGTTCTTTTCCAGTAACTCTGGGAGGAAACCACAGACCTCCAGCAACCAAGCGCAAGCACCCTGTATGGCAAGCAGGGCCACCTGTTTCGCACTGGTGCTTGGGATAGTTTCCACCTGCTTCTCTGGGCCCGCCTGACTGACTCTAAGTAAACCATGAAGTGCTTAGGCGGCTTTTGGCTCCAGTAGTTGGAACTCGGTTTGCTCAGGGTATGCTGCAGACCATAAACAGCCCATAAACAGTTGCTCATTTCCCTGACAAATTTAGCCTCAAGACTGCACTTCTCTCTCAAATCATCGCCCTGTTCTGCCCTTCCTTTCCCTTTAATATCAACACAGCCCATTTAAAATGGGAGATGAGACCACTCTTCCACTCAGAACCTTTCAAATCCTACCACCTCTCTCTATGAAAATCAAAGATCCTAAATGGTTTCACCCCTGTGCCCCCTGCCCCTGACCCCACCACCATCATTTACTCACCCTCCTTTACCCTTCTCTAGCCACACTGGCTTCATTGCCATTCCTCAAACAGGCCAGGCACAATCCCACCTCAGGGCCTTTGCACTGGCTTCTCCCAATACTTAGAATCCTCCAACCCCAGGAATCCTGAGTGTTATTCCATCATTCCTTCAGATCCTGGCTCCGTCTAGTCCCATTCACCTCTCTCCTACTCTGCCCATATGCAGAGCTTAGTGAGCTCTCGCTCTCTCTCTCACCCCAGGGAGGAGTCTCTGCATCACTCCCCCATTGGCCAGAAAAAAAATAGACCTCTTTGGAAACCCTGACCAGAAGGACAGTTTTCATAATAAATCTCAGGTAATCGATTCTAATGGACTGTCAGATCTACATCCAAAATATTCACTTCTCTCAACTTAAGGGAAAGAGGAGAAATCCAAAAGCAAAAAAGCCTCTGATCCAGCAATTTCCAACTCTCTCTACCAGCTTTCTACTTATAAGGTAGGCAGAAGAGATGAAAGTCACGTCTGAGCCAGGCAGTGGCCCATGCCTTTAATCCCAGCTACTCAGGAGGATCACAAAGTTTGAAACCAGCCTGTGCAACTTAGCAGGACCACGTATCAAAATAAAACAAAGGGCCAGGGGTAAACCTCCTTGGTAGAGCACTTCCCTACAATGTGCAAGGCCCTGGATTCAATCCCCAGCACTGCCAAAAGGGAAAGAGAATGGGAGTCACATCTGACAGAGAGGTACTCTCCAGAAGGCATCCTATCCTCCAGTGCTTTAGAGTAGTGGGTGTAACTGCGGAGGCAAGAGGGCCCAGAGAGACCAAGTAGGATTTTGAGCCATAGAAATCATACCTCCCTTAGTAGCACTCAGAGAGAAGCAATGTGCTTTTCTGGGATGCTATTTTAGATGAGGTAAGAACAGGTTTAAAGTGGAAAACTCTTCTTAAACTACTCACATATGAAGTGTCTCTTTTTGTGTCAAGACTCTGAATGAAAGAAACTGAATTTCCTATTATTTTTCTCCTTCTTATCCTTTCCCCTTCTTAGAATTCATGAATTTGCTAA